CCCCAAAACCCCAAAACCCCAAAACCCCAAAACCCCGTAGGAGTGAACTTTTATTGAATAAAATAAAAATGAACTGGCAGGGGGCTGGAAATGTAAGAGTTTTAGAAGGGTTAGTGGGGGTAAGTGCTTAGGCTTTCAAACTCCGATGAACTTTATCTCATAGAAGAACTCCATTATGAAAAGATTAACAGAAACACCGCATAATAGAAGTAGCTATGGAGAAGCTCTCCTGCCTTTAAATTTTATAAGTGTTTCAAAAAGAGTCAAATAAGTCTCCGTCACCGGTTTTTGAAGATTTTAGATTAGGGACCATGCCAGAAACAACTTTTCGAAATTCCTCTGTAGTTGTCAGAGAAGCCAAAGAGAAGGTGAACAAGTTATAACCTTCAGAAAGAGAGCCTCTCCTAGAAAGAAACTAAATATGACTCTCCCAAACGCCCAGAAAAGTCGACCAAGTACTATTATAGAAACACTCGGTGGGAAGATCGCTAGAAGGATGAACCAAGAGCTGTTAAATAAAGAATCTCGTTTCATACAAAAGAATGTTAAAAGAGCTATTCACCATAGGAAGAGTACTATAGATAGCCCAGTTAGTTCAAGAGGATCTGACTGGAATGCTCTCAAGAATTCTAATAAGAAGGTTAAATCTAAGTTCTCCAAAGTAAATAAACCTGTTTCTAAATTTGAAAGCGATACTTCACCTAAATTAAAGAAAAAGAATGCTGAAAAGTTTAAACTTCTTGAAAAGAGCATGAGAAGGGAATATGAAGAGAGAATTAACAACATCAAGAGGAGATATGAAGATATAATATCTGCACTCAAGGCTAGTCTTGCACAAGCCCAAGATACCAAGAAAGAAACAATTCAAATTAATAAAGATAAAGCCAAAGAAATCGTACTCAAGAATACACAGAAGTTGGTCCATAAAGCTCAGATTAGTAGCTTAAGAAAGAAAGTTAGTCGAATGTCAAAGAACAATTTTAAAGATCTGACTAAAGGGATAGTGCTTGAAAATGATAGACTTGCAATGCAGCTTGAGGATGTCTCTATGAAGCTCCATATGACAACAGAAAAACTAAGGCGAGCTGAAAAGGAACTCCATAGTCTTAAGAACTTCGCATCAAAATATCATAATATTGATGTTAATGAGATGCACAAGACAGTACGGAATCTTGAAAATGAGTTAGAAATGTACAAAAAGAAAAACGCTCCTCAGAAGGGTTTCAAGGTTACCAATCGTATCTGTACTGTGTGTGCCAGTCAGATCGATAATTACAATAATAGGGTCAAGAAGATCATAGTTGAGGGAGGAAGAAATAGAGAGCATGCATATCCTGCCAATGTCTTTTTGTCTAGTGACGAAGAAGAAGACAGAAAAGAAAAACGTAAAGAACTTATAGCACAACAAACGGATATCATGAAACAAGTACTCTCAGAGCTTAAAGGATATTCTGATGATGTTGAGAGCTTTGGAAAAGAAGAATCTGCAATTACCTCCGAAGATGGCAGTGATATTTTTGGACAATACCCAGTCATGCGTCTGCATGCGCCAAATGATGAAGAACCCAGTGAGTTTATGAAAAAGTACCTTGCATTTTCAAATGTAAATGAAATTGAAAGTGTTAGCGATAGTGATTTTGATAGCGAAAACAGAGATGTAGTTGATCCAAAAGAATTATCAAAAATTGAAAATAACCCTAATTCAAGTTCTACAAATAAATTCTTAGATAGTTCTCTTTGATCAAAAATTCAAGTAAAAAGACCAAAAGCTATCATTACCAAAAGACCTAGCCAAAAATTTGACTTAAGAGATGACATTGAAAACTCAATTCTCATAAGCGGAGAGGCTTCAGCACAGCTTCAAAATAATTTTTAAACATTCAACTCTAAAATAACTTTTAGGGGTTTTGGGGTTTTGGGGTTTTGGGGTTTTGGGGTTTTGGGG